CCCCAAAACCCCAAAACCCCAAAACCCCAAAACCCCTTGTTTTGATGGCAGTATTGAAAGCAAACTGGTGGGTGAGATGCAAGAGCGGTAAGAAGGGAAGATACTTTTGGAAAAGGTGAGGTTAGTTCGGTGATAAGTCGGTTATTTGATATTTTAGATAGAAATTAGTCAAGCCATTGCACTTTCTCTCCATTTCAGCATTCAGCTCTTCTCTTTTTTCCATTTTTATCAATGAAAGTGCCGATTCCATGTTGTTTGCCATCTTTCCATTCTCCATCATATCATCTTCCATCTGGCCATGTATAAACGCCTATAAACATAATTTAGCTAAAATAGCCAATGCCAAAAGCTGAAATTGCATAATTTTTTTTAATTTTGTTACCTTTACCATGCCTAGAACCATCTTGGAATTCACCTTCGTAAATTCTTCCATCAGTCCAATGGAATATTCCTTGACCGTTCATTTTACCTCTTCTAAAATTTCCTTGGTAATAATTATTATTTGCCCATTTATATGTACCTGAACCTTCAAAGCTATTATTTTTAAAACTTCCAGAATACTCAGCACCGTCTTGCCAAATGAGTGTGCCCATTCCTTCCTTTACACCAGCTCAAAAGTCTCCAATGTAATAAGTTCCATTAGAAAATATTTGTCTACCTTTGCCGTGCTGTATATTGTTGTACCAGAAGCCTTCGTAGAGCTCCTTGTCATTGACATAGATACCTCTTCCGCTTCGAGAGTCAGTCCCTATAGCCCATTGACCTCAGTAATATTCGTTTTTATTCATCTGCATTACAGATTTTCTGTATTCGAGATCAGCCTGCATGTTCTGCATCTTGGTGGAAATGTCAGTTGAACGAATTTTGAAAGGGCCAAGCTTGTCGTACGTACGGATCACTTCTGGATGTCAGAATTTCACAAGTTTGTCAATAATTTGCTGGTTGAACATACTTTTACACCCTATCTGAGACTCCCGATTCAAAGTATGGTTTGTGTTGTCATAATCATCTTCTGAAAATTCTGAATAGAGTGAAAGCTCAACTTCTGAGCACCTCATTTCATTCCCAATAACATCAGGGCGAACTACAGGCCTGCTGCTTTGAGGAGGGATAGTGGATCCCTCAGAGCTATCAAGACTCATGTCAAATTTTTCCTCTTTTTCTTTCTTCTCACATGTATTTCAGCAACCCATTTACCTCGTATTTTACTTTAGATATATTTTATATAAGCTAATTTTGATAAGGGGTTTTGGGGTTTTGGGGTTTTGGGGTTTTGGGG